TTTTCTTTACCAATTCACTGTAATAAAAATGAACATTTTGTCATCACTTTGGGAAACTGTGCCAAACACCTTAAAACACATGTCACATGCCAACTTTACTTCGTTTTTCTCCTCAGGGAATAGATACATCTGGAATCATAATCACAGATAAAAACCTTGACAAAACTGCACATGAGCCCAGCCCTTCTCTCCAACACCTACCTTTTCATAACATTTAATACAATATTAATATCAGTTACTAAAAAGGCTTCCAACCTTTACATTTCTGACATAACATGTTCAAACCCATATTTCACACTTCTTGTTCTGTTTTAAGTTCAGTGGATTTAACAGGACTCTGGAGAGAAGATCATGTGGCTGAAGATTTCCCTCCCTCTCTAACACCCGTAGAGGCAGTTTTGGAATTGTTTAAATAGCTGTGGCTATATAAACTGAAGTATTCAAGATTATGGGTATCTTGTTTCTCTCTTGCACACACAGATAGATGCTTGTATATTTATCTGAAATCTACCGCTTGTACCAGCACCAAACAATTTCTACACAACATCTGGGCAAAACATTCTGAATATTTTCCTTTGAAACTTTGTGATTTATTTTTCCTGCGTATTCTTGGATTATCAGACAAACATTATTAGCTCTTATATAATGATACTACTTGGTCTTTTTATCTATGATTGACAGTTTTTCAAATCAAAATAAAACCCATTCTTAGCCAATCATCTTCTTGAAAGCATGTTGCTGTTTTAAGCTCGGTTTGCTTCAGAGACAGCCAGAGATCTTATTCAGCCAGGGGTAAACGGTGAAATTACAGATCCAACAGATTCCCCACTCCCCCCAGAATGCCTGGCTTAGGTAATATTTAATGGCTAATTCCTAGACTGATGCTTTTACTGTATGTTTTTTTATAACAGTAATCAGCTGATGCTGCAAAGAAATGGAATTTGAGAACTTTGCGAATTTTCATTTTTTATTGTGTTTGCAATTAGTACCATGCTGGAAGTACCTCAGGCAGCTCGCTGTATGGCTTTGTTCATGTCAGAATGGTGATAGCAACCTCTTTTTGTTACATATTTAACAGCTTTGAAAGACATTTTTTATACAGCAAATGTACTAGACAGCTTTAAAGCAAGGGACATTAAATAGGTTGCCAATTATTCATTCAACAGCTCTACATGCATCAAAAAAATGCATACCACCAAATTTTCCTGAGACAAACCACTTAAATTTCCTGTGACTCATGCACCATTTCTGCACTAACTGGGTAGGGACAGCAATCATTTAGACAGAGAAACAGATATTAAATCTTTCTTACCCTGGAATACTAAAAACATCTATAAATATGCTCATTTACAGTTTGGGGACAGCATCTGTGGCAAGAAGAGTCTTTTTTTAAAACTGAATGGTGTTTCTTAATAAGCTTATTTCATTATTTTCTTTCACTTTAAAATCACCCAAAGTGCCTCATTTGGCATATAGCAAGTGCAAAAAGTGATATATGAATGGAGCAATAATTTCCCAGAATCGTTTCAAGTCAGCCTATTGAGCAAGTGAATCTGTAGCACACTGGTCTGCCTCCAGCAGCTCAGGGAGATGAAGCTGAGCTGAGCTCCACTTGCTGACAAGAAGCAAACTGTCTCGCATTTTAGGAGAACAACATCATTGCCTATAAAAATGAAGAAGAGACAAAATAAATAAAACCAGTTAATGTTGTAGTTAACTTGCAAATCAAGTAAATCTGTTGATACAGTATTTTAGAAATAAATGATAACAGCATCACACCAAACACACATTTCCGAACGTATAAGCGCTCTGATTTTGATTTAATGGTGTATCAGCGTCAACTATTGCTTCCTTTGCTGGTACACACTTCCTGATGCCTACTGTGAAGGGTGCCCATATTTACAACTGAGTAAGATGATTAATTACACCTTGTCAATCACGGTGCATGAAGACATAACACCACAGCAGACAATGAAGAAGATGCCTGAAGCTACAATTACATTTTAATTCATAGTTTATTGTATGCCCCCATATATTGCAGTCTAATAACCGTAGGGGCATCAAAAACATATGAGATATCAATCACTCTGCCCCCTGGTTTTTCATGTTTATATTATTTCACAGCCTTTAAATTACCATAAGTAGTTACTTATTTCCTAAGCTTTCTTATCTCTTACCTTTTGCTTCCATTTATCTTTTATTCTTAGTACCTTTATCCAACAGCTATAAGTATTTGATGGAAGTTTGTAGCTCACTTAAAATCTGTAACAGACAACCTGAAACCCAGCAATTAGCAAAGACAGCTTAGACTTGTGTTCCTTTGTTGAAGGAGGCGTTGAGTCTTTTGTTCTGATTTAGTCACGGTAGCTGGGTGGAAGCTGGTACCTCATTATGTGGTTGGTCTGTTTGTCTGGTAGGTAGCAGATGGTGCTGGAGATGACGTTACCAAGAGAGGCAGGGTAGAGAAACTCAAGACCTGTGATTTGTTCACCTGTCACCTATAACAAAATACAGGTTAAAAGACTTTATTATTAGCTGCACCATTTTTTAATGAAAAAAAACTCTTACTTCAAATGAATCTGCAGTTGATTGTAAAGATTATTTTGCTGTAGCAATTTTTCTGCTGCTCATTATTCAAGAATACCCTGGATTTTATTCTGAACAATGTAAATGTCATTCATGTGTCAGTGTGTACATTAGCAGCTTTGTGTTTACATTCTGCTACTCTCCCTGTGTTTTGGTAGCAAGGGTTGGATGTCTTCATGTGTTTGTATATGCATTTAGAAGGTAATCAGAGATGGCCTGTGGTTGGAAGTCACGGCTTACCTGCCTGACATGCTACTGGTTTTAATGGTTCCAGCCACTTAGGCAATACATAAAATATCGTATTTTAATTTAAAAAAAAAAATCTTTTAGATAATCGGTATTGTCAGATGGAGTGTACAAATCCATGACCTTTCCCACTTCCAAAATCTGTGTGATCAGTTACATGACACAGAACTGAACTGCATGCTGCTGTTGCACGGCAAGATACGGTGTCCATGGTGTCAAGTGAGCAGTACTCCACATCAGCATTACTGGAGGCAAACCTCCCGCGTGAGACGGTGTTTGAGATGTCTTGTAATTGAAGGAAGGGATAAATTACTTTATTGACATAAGCATTACACAGTCCTAGTAATTCTTTGTAGAATTCTAATCTGAACTAAAACATGAACATCTGCTGTCTTCAAGATGTGGTTTTAGGACAGTCTTTGACTAGTTCCCATGGATGACAAACTAGCTTGTGTTCTGAACGGTTTCCAGTGCAGTCCAGTGGCAATTTCACACGCACCTCTACCAGAGACTTTGTTCTCCTCTGTGACATGCAAGTATATTTAACTGCTCAGAGCAATTCACCAGAAAGATGGTAAAAAGCCTTGATTATTCTAAGAACAGAACACATAAACCTAGCCAGCTGTGAATCTAAATGAAGTCACTCCAATTGTAGCAAAGACAGCGATACCTTTACCGCACCTGGAAGAGGTACATCCCTGCTTCAGACCCGTAATTCTGGTGCCCCAAGTGATGTAATCATTTGCAGGCACGGACAAAGCAGCGGGTCTCATCATCTCAGATGTACGTTCAGGTTTACTTTCCATTGCTCTACTTTTCTAGTATAATTCTAACTGTGATATTGGCGTCTTTAACACTAATTACTGCACCCTTAGTATCCACCTTCTGAGTACATACTAAGACATGATGAGCGCTTTCCCATTTTGCACTCCCCGTCTTTTCTGGAGGTTTCCCGAAGCTTCTCCTGAAGTTCAGGGCAGGCCTTTCTGGCCCAGCGCTCCTGCGGCCGGCTCGGGCGGAGGAGCAGAAGCCGCCACCAGCAGAAGGCTTCGCGGCCAAGGGCGGCACAGCCGGCCACGTTCTCGTGGCAGACGTTGTTCGGGAAGGGCCTCGTTGGAGGCGCTCGGCGTGCCATCAGCGGGTTCGGTGCCTCCAACTCGGAGGGCTACCGACCTCCGCAGTCCCCAGAGCGCCGCCAACGCGGGACGCGAGCCGCCGTGCACGCTGGGCCGGGAGCGGAGCGGCCGGGAGCGGGGCGGCGGGGCCGACGAGGGCCGAGGAGGGCCGCGGCCCCTGCGCGCCTCCCAGCCCCGAGCACATGCCGGCGGGCCCGGGCGCGGCGGCAGCCAATGGCGGCGGGGCAGGACATGATGTCAGAGGGGCTGTAGAAAAGGCGCGGAGCCTCGCGCGGCGCCCGAGCTGCAGACGCGCCGCTCGCAGGCACCGCGGCGGGCGGCGGCTCCGGCTCCGCTGCCACCGCCGCCGCCGCCACCGCCGCCGCTTCTGCTACCGCCACCGCTTCTGCTGTGCTCCTGCTGTGCTCCCCCGCGGTGCGGCGCGGCCGCCCCCCGCCAGCAGTGCCCCGCCAGCAGCCTCCCGGGCCCGCGGGCCGCGCCGCTTTAAGGAGAGAGGGGGGCCGCCGAGTGCCCGTCCCATCTGGTGCCCATCCAACTCTTCCTCCTTCCCCTTGGCTTTTTCTTTTCCCAATGAGCTCCAGCAGGCTGGGGGAGGAGCGGGGGAAGGAGCAAACTTTGCCCCTGAGCTGCTGCCGCTGCCAGCCCTCTGGACTGTGAGTGCGTACGGTGGGCACCCGCCCCATCCTCTTGCAGCATCAGCCTGCTCTCCGCCTGCCGCGCTCCCTCTCCCTCGCTTTCTAAATTTCGCACTGTACGATGTAGGGGCTGGTCATCACTCTTTTTATTTCTCACCGAAGATGGTGTATTTTTTTTAATATATATTTATCTTATTTATTAATTCCTCCCGATCGTATGCCTGCCCAGCCTCCTGTCAGCTGGGCCAGAGCATAAAGCCTGGGACTGCACCTGGGGCGATGAGCCCTGCGCTGAAGAAGCCTCCCGGAGGGATGCGCCGGGGCCGCGCAGCAGCCTAGCTCGGCGTCCCGGGGCGCGCAGCGCCTCTCGGCCCCTCTCCCTCATCCCCTCCGCTCGCCTGCTTTGCACCCCGTCCCCTTGAAACCTCGGATCAGAGCCTGCGCCCCGCTCCGGAGATCTCCGCCGGGTGGAGAGCCCTGAGCCCGAGGAAAGACGGGGCGTGCTAGATGCATGGGGGAGGGCTCCGCTTAATGCAAGTTCTGGGCTCCTGCAGGGACCCCGACAACTGTCAGCTGAAGCAGCAATTCGGGGCCTCCTCCTCGTCTTCCTCAGCGATGCTTTTCCACAGCCTGTCCGGCTCGGAGATGCACGGGGTCATCGACGAGATGGATCGGAGAACCAAAAGCGAAGCACCGGCCATCAGCTCGGCTATAGACAGGGGAGAGACCGAAACGGTAGGAGGCAAAGGAATGGGAGAGTCGTTCAACTCCCTAAACGTAACGAACCCTTCAAAAATACAGCTTTTCCCTTAAAGTAACAGATCGGGGGGAAACGTCTGCATAATACTAAATCGGAAGAAATTTAAGCATGAAGGCACTCCAAAAGATTGAGTAAAACCATGGGGAAAGGCATGAAACTGTTAATTATTAATAACATGCATAGTAATAGTAACGCTTGGGTGGAACAAACGGTGCTGCTCTTGCAAGAAACAGAAAGCTGGAGCAGCCTTTTGGTAGCGTCCACGCACGCCTTCCCTTCCCCCAGCCAGTTCGGCCTTCAGAAGTTTTTTGGGAGAGGCAAAGTATGCTTTTGTACAGATAACGTTTGGGCACAGCAAAATTTTTGTCTGCAGAATGGAAATAAATACCAGAGAATCCAATTCGGTGTTGTTTTTCAGGTGAGATATCTACACTGAAGTAGACATTATAGCATAGAAAAGCCCAAACAAAAGCAAACAAACAAATAAGCAAAACAAAATCCCCAAATTTCTACCATCTTTAAATCATGATTTCTTGTAGTAGGAAGATCCATGAGCACTGGATTTCTGAACTTGGTGAACGGATCTGGAAGACGAGTTTCAGGGAAATGGATGCAAGTCTTTGTAACTTTACCACATCTTATCTTATATCTGCTGGTGGGCAGTGCTTTTAGATGATAAAAGGATGCATCCTTCGAGCCAGAATTAAGCAGCAAAGCAGAAGAAATTTTATAAGAATATTAATTTAACTGAGTCAGTATTTATCGTGTACTTTATTTTTTTTTATTTTTTATTTTTTTTAAAGAAAAGAAATTTCTGGAGTGAAATTATTCCATTTAAGTAACTCTGTCCTGTAAGGTGATGTGCAAGGAGGGTGTCTGATCGTGGCTTTCAAGGCTTCAGCAATGCGTTACGTCTAAATGTTATGTAGAAATGTTCTTAAAAGTGACAGTCAGATTATTTAATCCCAAAATATGGGCTAGAGCAGCCTTTGTACAATAGCATGATTTCTCATCTGAAGGGTTTGGTTGGTTGTTTTTTGTTTTTTGTGTTTTTTTGGGTTTTTTTGGTCATTGTTTTTTTTTAAGTTTATATTTCTGCATATAATTAAACAATATCAAGTTTTCTTTACTGGAATAAATATTGTGGCACGATATCTTTATCTATTGATATAATTTATTTACATTCACATGTGGATGCAATGAATAGTGGAATAGAATACTGGATTCTTAAATACCAATTCCAGGCATCAGAATATTTTTGATACTGGATAAGCAAAGCAGAAAAGTTGCGTTTCATTTGAAGTTGGTTTATGAGAAACTACTTCTTGTGTAAAACAATCCCCAGTCGGAGTTCAGTTCATGCCTTAAGGAAATTAGGCATCAGTGGACTCGTGGCTGTCGTAGTGCCATCGTTGTGTTCACATGCACTTCTGATAGTGGAAATGCTGTACTGCAAACAGTGGTGCTCACAGCGATGGGGTTTTGTGATCTGCTGGGTGGATGCAGCCGGTCTCGCCTGTGCTGGAACAAATAGCTCCTTTCTTTTGGGTCTCCCGGTTAGCTGCATTCTCTCTTCTCGCTTTGCGCAGGGACTTCAGGCTCTAGAGGAGGTAAAAGTAAACAAACAGATCGCCCCCCTTCCCGAATCAAAACAAACTGCGTGTTTGGGGGGGGGAAAGTGTTTGGAGTTGTCTTGCACAAGGACAAATCTGCAGTGTGGTTTTGAGCAGAGTGCCATGATAACAGTAAGTTTAGAATGAAATGGGCATTGCCAGACCTGCCGTAAATATTGCTCTGTTCTGCACCTCTCGTCTCCAACTCTGTTTTGGGGTGCGGGGTGAAACACATGAGAGCACTTAAACGGTTTCCGATATTTTTTGCTTTTTTTTTTTTTTCTCCCTCTTGGTAGGAGTTGACAGAATTTGTATGTATTTGTTTTTCTTTCTTTCTTTCTTTTTTCCAGGGGGTTTCGATTGGATTGCGATTTGACACTGAACTATTAAATTATATAGGGGTTACATTTAGTTTTATTGCTTCCAAGTTTATCCCAGCATAATCTAAAGCATTCTGTTGTTTCGTCCCACTTTATTTCTCACTATTTCGTTTTCCCGGTAAAACATTCTGCACCTCAGATTTAGTAACGCTCGTCTTCTTCACAGTTTTATTTACCGATCCCTCCGGTGCTTTGGGTCACGGCAGCTTTGGGTACATTTGTTTGGAAGCAGCTTGCAGGGAGCTGCGCCTGTGCCACTGTGGCTGCTGGGGGTTTGATCGTAATTCACTTGGAGTTTTATTGCTAGGAAAATACACACGCGGACACGCTCCACATATACGCACTCACGGAGCATTAACTATGCAGATACTCTCCGTGTATCCATAATAATCAAATTTAAAATGAACTGTCTGCGATTTTCCCTGTTCTGATTGTTGCACCTGGCTGGTGAGGAGCATCTTTTCTCGTTCCTGGGATTGGCAAATTCATAAAAGAAAAAAAAAAAAAAAAAAAAAAAAAAAAAAGAGAGAGAGAAAAAAAAAAAAAAAGAATTCCTGGGTCTCATCCAGACGCCTCCCAGGTTCCTTCTTGCTGCGTTTCCCCCTCCCGCCGGGCCGGGCAGTGTCTGCCCCCGGGGAGCCACGGGGCCGGACCGGACGGAGCCCCAACGGCGCGCTCTGCGCTGCAGCGGGGGGACACGCGGCCGTGCAGAGGCGGGAGAGCGCAGCAGCGCCCGAGCTTCTCCCTCTCGCTAACGGTCCGAAATTGTTTTCCCCCAGCAGACCATGCCTTCCATCAGCAGTGACCGGGCTGCCCTGTGCGCCGGCTGCGGGGGGAAAATCTCCGACCGTTATTACCTCCTGGCTGTGGACAAACAGTGGCACATGCGCTGCCTGAAGTGCTGTGAATGTAAACTCAACCTGGAGTCCGAGCTCACCTGCTTCAGCAAGGACGGCAGCATTTACTGCAAGGAGGATTACTACAGGTACAGCCCGTCCCGGCGCGGGGGGACCCGCTCGGACTTCTCACGTCCGGTCGGTCCTGGGGGCTGCGTAGGGGTCGGAGGGCGCGGGTCCCCGGGGGCGGCAGCTTCCGAAGCGCCGGCGGGGGGGATGGCGCGGGGAAGGGACGCGGCTCTCCCCGGCTGTGCGCGGGGCAGGGAGCAGAGCCGTACCGGGAGGGCTCGCTGTCCCCACGCGTGTCTCCGCGCGGGGCCGAGGACTCGGGGCACGCTGTCCTCCCGGCCGGTTGCGGGCCCACCGCCGGGACCGTTCGTGGGGTGGGGGGCAGCCCCGACCGCCGCGATGCCGGTGGGAAGCGGCCCCGAGGCCGCTGGCGGCTCTGTGCGGCGCCGGCTCTGTACGGCCCCGGCCCGCGGCCCCTCTTCTTCTGTCGTCTCCCAAGCAGACACGACGAAGAGCGGGATGCGCCTCTCACCGCCTCCTCTGGCCGTTCTGTTTTGCAGGAGATTTTCCGTGCAGAGATGTGCGAGATGTCACCTGGGGATTTCTGCCTCCGAAATGGTCATGAGGGCCAGGGATTTGGTATACCACTTAAACTGCTTCACTTGCACCACTTGCAACAAGATGCTGACCACCGGCGACCACTTCGGCATGAAGGACAATCTGGTGTATTGCCGCCTCCATTTCGAGACTCTCATCCAGGGGGAGTACCAGGTGCATTTCAATCACTCGGATGTAGCCGCTGGGAAGGGCCCAGCGTTGGGTGCGGGCTCTGCCAATACTTTGGGACTGCCTTATTATAACGGCGTGGGGACTGTCCAGAAGGGGAGACCCAGGAAAAGGAAAAGCCCAGGGCCTGGGGCAGATCTGGCAGCCTACAATGCAGGTAAGAGACCCTGTCTTCCCCCAGCAACAATTCAAACGGTTTGTTTCTGTTCACTTCCAAAGGGGGATTTCCGTTTATTTTAGCTTAAACCGTTAATAATAGTTTAGCTGCAGCATAATTATTGAGATCAAGTGCTGTCAAACTGCAATTACAGAAGCTAATATGTTAGCATTTTTCACTTCAGCTGGAAATAAAATGTTTTGAAGCAAGGTCATCTGGTTAAGGAGGGGGAGAAGGGGGGGGGGGGGGGGGGTGTAGCCTGAAATAAAATCTGGAAACCAGAGATTGTAAGTTAGCACTTCAGAGAGCTGTGAATTTTCTTTAGTAGCTACACCCTCAAAGGCTGCTGATGAGTGAATGTTTCTGTCCTTCTCCCGAGCTCTTGCGCCTCGGAGTTTTGGAAGGAAAAGGAGAGAGAGAGGAGGGACAGGGGTGGCTGTTTCCTGGCAGGTTGGGCTGCGGTGCCCGCGGAGCCTGCAGGGGCTGCAGGAAGCATGTGCTGCAGCAGCCTCGAGTCTGCTCCTGCGGTGCCAGACTCGGCCGGATTTGTGTGCATCAGAGGTGATTCAGAGGAGTCAGGAAACTCACAGCATCTCCATTCGCTGCCCCGAGTCGCAGCCTCTTCCTCTTAACTGAGAACAGCAGTAAGAAGAAAGTGGGCAAACCCGGTGACAGCCACAAGCCTGCGGACTGCGCAGGAACTCCGTGTCTCAGGCTCTAGGCGCTCAGCTGCTGAGCTGATGTCCTTCCTCGTTTAATCTCCCCACCATAACAGCACTGTAATTCCGTAGGTAAAGGAATTCCGGCAGTCTCCTGCCTCCCTCCTTCCCTCGCCAGAACACCGTGATCGCCGGCGCTGCTCCTTGTGTGCAAAAGGGAAAAGTTCTTGGACGGTAGAAAACGCTTAGATCTAGGTGCGGTTCGAACTCAAGGCGGAGGTGGGGTTTCCTTCAGACCTGAGCACCCATAAGCTGTCCCGTTAGGCGCCCGTTTCGTTGTGCCACTTCCGTATTGTTTGCGATGTTTCCCGTTGTTTCGAGCGCGTTTTCTCTTCAATCTGCGGGGCTCAGATTCGTCCCGTAGGGCTCCCGTCCTTCCGTCGCGTTTTGCCTCCCCGAGGTGGCGCCAGATGGGGGGGGAAGGAGGGAAGGGAGCATCCGGACCGGGCAGCGGGCAGGGAGAGAGAACGCGTGGGGAACGGGGAGCCGGAGCCGACGCTTTGTGCTGAAAATGGCAAGGAGAAAAGGAGCGTCTCCGAGTGCCAAGTACGCCTCAGGAATAAAATTGCCACCAATCGCGGGTTTTACCGATAGCTGAATAATATGGAAATCCGTACAAAAATCCGTAGGTGTCCCGTGGTGAAAGGTGTGTGCAACTGCGAGCTTTCAAACGCTCAGAAAATGTGCGTCCTGCCCGTTTAGAAATGTTTCCTTTTCGGAGGGATTCGACTGTAATTGCCGTTCCGCTGTCCCCCTGTGCAGGGCAGATGTTCGGTTTCAAAGGACCTGTAACCGAACCGGCGGCATCTGTCCCGGCTGGGAGCAGCCTGAGAAAGCCCTGCCGCTCCCTGACCTCCCGAAGGAACCGTCCTTAAATGTACCTTAACAAATCGTTCAAAAATAATTGCCCTCCCGTTTTGCTTTTCTAATTTTGGGTTAGACCCCGTAACTGAAGCTTAACAGGTCTTCGAGGAATCTTCAGCTTCTCTGCTGAAGCTATTTATCTACTTAACTGCTTACTAAACCAATAATCAATTAATTTACATGGTAATAAGTGCCATTGAGCTTGGAAATCAGAGCGGGTGTTCCGTTGGTTTAAAATTTCACAAAGCAGGAAATGATTGCAAAGCCTTCTATTTTGTGTCTTCTAAAGGAGACCGTTGAAAAGTGCGTGATGGTTTCTCTCGAGTTATTTTTAATGGACCTTCTCCTTCCCTTCTGAGAATTGCACTAGGAACGAACAATATTGTCCTTCGAGAGTGTTTGTTGCTGGTAATTTGTGTAGAATACTTTGTGTAAATAAATCTACACCCAGAGGTGGTGGGAAAAGGGGGACCCGTAAATACAGCCGGAGTTGAGATGGGAATTATTTCGTAAGTAGCAGCAAACATTCATCTGCGACGTGAATTGGTCTGGCTCGCTGCCTCTTTTTTTCTACTTAAACGAAACGCTGTTTGCACGGGGACGATGAGTTCTGGATGTGGATGGAGCCTGACAAGTGGAAAATAGCTTAGAAGGATGCCGAAACTTCAAAAAGATTTCGTGGTTTTTTTTTTTTCCCTCCCCTCCCCCCAACCCCCAAAGTGTGTTCTGTGATCATCGCTCCTTTTTTCACTTTTGGGTTGGATTCTTGATTATTTTTTTTTTTTTTTTTTGTTTGGTTTTCCTTTTTTTTTAGGTCAGTAAATCAGTGGCTGAAAGCTTGCTGAACACAGACGCACCTGTAAAGAATTCTGAACGCTCCCTTTGTGAATTAGGCCCCAAACCTCCCACAGCTTGCTATATTTTATTCATGTCTATCTGGTCTGTCTTTAATATGAAGACAGTACAATAACCCTTAACATGATAGTTGTAGGGGCTGGGGGCGGCACGAGCTGGTAAAACACCCGCGATCTGTGCAAACAGCAAAGGTGTCGAGAAACATTTCCTTCCATCGCTAGCTGCGTGCTGCGGGGCGTTGCGGGGCGTTGCGGGGCCGGGCCGCTCCGTGTGGCAGCGCGGGGCTCTGCGGATCGCCGCCCTGCAGGCGCCTTTGCGGAAAGTTTTCTCTCGACGGAATTCGGAAAAACCCGGAAAGTTTCGCAGAGCTGATTTCTCTTTTCTCTCCTCACGTCCTCCGGGACCGAAAGCTCAAAATCAGCGTTCCCGCGGGTACAGTAGCAGAACGAGCAAACAGAAGCCACAGCTAAAATAGGGGTCGTTTCACAGCAGTTTCCTAAGAAAAAATGAGAGTTCCGTCCTTTCCCTCCTCCTTTTCTTCCCCCGGCGCTCGGACGGGTCACCCCGGGCGCAAGCAGCCGCTCTCCAGGGCGCACTGCCGGCCCGGGGCTGCCGGGGGCTCCGCCGTGTCCCGTGGGCGCCCCGTGCAGCCTCCGCCCGCTCCGGACCCTGCGGGCAGAGCGGATCCGCGGCCGGCCGGGTTAATCGCGGAGCGCGGGGACCGACGGCGCGCTCGCACCGGCCATTCAGCGCCATTCAATTGGCTTAATTGAGGGGAAAAGCCCTCCGCGGACGGCTCCTCCCGCAGCGCCCGGCCCGGCCGCCTCCCGCCCTTTGTCCGCTCCGGGCCCGGGCCGCTCTCTCCCCCTAGAGGCGCCGCGGGGCCGGGCCGCTCTCGGGGTGCCGTGGCAGGGCCGCCGTTCCGCGCCCCGCGCTCTGCGGCCCTGCCCGGTGCTTCTCCAGGGTGCCGCCGGGCGCCCCAGCGGCAGGGGGGAAACGTCGCGTGCTCCGCACACCACGGAATCCTTACGGGAGCCGGGTTAAATTTTAATCCTGGTTGCGATGAGGGTTCCGGTGACTGAGTGTCTCCTCCTGCCACTGGGGAGGAAGGCTGCTTCCGACCCCACTGTTTCTCCACAGAGTCCTTCGAGTGCTCCTACCCAGCAACAAACGGGGCCGCAGCCCTGCCCCATCTCCTTAACCTAAGTTCTGTCTCCAGGCAGAGGTCTCTTGCAGAAGGAAAGGGGTGCATGTTCCAGAGCCATTGGAACGGCTAGCTGATACGTGCTCCTAATGTGCTTCTTGTTTCACCATGCTTTCAGCATCAGGATTCATTTGTTTTCTTTTTGGGTAACTTGACGTGTCAAACAAACTACTAAGAAGAGAAGTTCCTCCCAAGGAAATTCCTCTTTCCCATCTTCTTCACGTTCCATAACTTTTCTACCTGCTAGCAAAGCACGTGCTTTGCTCTGACTCCCAGCACACACAATCTGGTGATCGAAGTGTGAAGCAGTGCTCCTGAGTTTTCTTCTTCAAATAGTATTTACTGTAAGGATAACAGTGCATCCCTCTTTGTTCTCACATTGTTGGTTTTAGAGACAGCTGTGCACATTATTCTGTAGATGATATTTTGATCACCAATATTGATCTTAGGGAGCAGGACCCAATTTCTAGTGATGTTCTCAGTGGACTTCACTTTCTGTGGCCAAAAAGAATCTCTGTCACAATGCTGTGGTAAGGCTGTGAGCTGAGAGCAGCTGGGGGACGGCAGGGTGATGGTCTGGTGTGGGACTGTTGAGGGTTGGGGGGCAGAAAGGGCCTAGAAATAAATGGTCTGGGATCTAAAAGACACTTGGCACCACTTCAGAATTTGTTTTATCACAAAGCAGAAATGAAATGGTTAATTTAAAACTCTTCAGTTTGACCTGAATTTTGCCAGTTGTATTTCTGAAATTCCCAGCATGAGTCCTAGGCACTGCAATTGAATGGGAACTGTAAGCATGGGTGGTTGAGCAGTTCCTTTGGGAGACACAGGGATGCCACGAAGGAACAGGGAGCACGTGCCTGAAAAGAAGCTGGCTGCAGGAGGAGCCTGTATGGTGTCTGGCATCGTGACACCTTCTGCAGAAACTCCACTCTGCAAACCTCCTTGTGCTTCTGTACCTCCACACCTGCAATGCCCATAGACATGGCATGTTGATGTAAGAGATGTACCTCGGATCAGATCTAATAAAACAGCATTTTGGAGATGGTGCCAAGTACCACAACCACATGTGAGACTGGCGCTAATGTCAAGCTGGGTGGTGCCTGGTGAGGAGCAGCTCATGCTCTCACGCACTTCAAAATCTGCTTTGTGACTTTCTTCCCAGCAAAGGACAAGAGTGGTGCATATTTACTGCTATTTTAGTATTATTTTTATTAAGAATTATGAGAAATTCATAGAGCAAATTGCTCATTATCAAGTAAGGGCTTGATGAAAAGCTGATACCTTCATTCCCTTCTGGGAGCGTTTAGAATCAAGTCTATTTTCTTGGGTCCTGATTGTATATCATTCTTTACAGAAGAGGATAAGATCCAACTACTAGCAGCCGTAGGACTTGTTTTGTTGCATATCAACATGAACAGATCTCAGTCCTCCAGATAGATATTTTGCTGCATTTTCTCCTAGCTCTTGGCCTTGTTATTTCTGGAATTTGAAAGCGTTTAAGGGAACACAGAGATCTTTTCTATTTCTAATATATGAAACTCTGTATGTTTAGAACCAAACACCATGTTGTTCCACATTTCCATAATGCCATTTGCTATAAGCAATATAGTTTCAGTTATTCTTCACAGTATTCTTCAGAGGAAGAACTTAGCTGTGAAGGATTCTGGGGCTGGTGGGATTGCTGCAGCTTTGCACCTTGGATCTCAGTTCTTCAACCAAAGGACAGATCTTGCTGCACTCTGTCCAGCTCCATGGATTCTATGATTTTACAGTCTCCTTTTGTATGTCTTACACCTTCTAAGTTCAGGTGCTCCAGTTCCTCCATACACGACAAGAAGCAGAAATGCTTCTTATTACTAGGAATTGGGCATAAGGAAGCTGACTGTGAAGGGTTTATACAGATGTATGCACACACACACTTACATGTACAGCACAATTTTTGTCTTTTTTTTTTTAATTGTAGCAGTACAGAAGCACAGAGATGTTGTAGCACTGAGCTCTCGCAGGCCTCGTTTGTACTGCACCATAGCTTGTAAAAAGTTTTTGAGAAGCTGAAGTTCACAAAGCAGCTACAGTACATGCTGCTGAACTGCTTTCCATTGTCTCTCTTTGCACGTTTTTCTTATAAGAACACACATTTAATGTAGGTTTTTAAAAAGCAATTTTAATGCATGCCTTTCAGAAATCGTATGTATTCAGCAGGGCTAAAAAACTGATAAATGATATGAAGTTAAGTTAGACTACAAATATATGCATGTCCATGAGATGGACTCCATTGTAGCAAACGAGCTGTAGTGGAGAAGTGAAAAAAAACCTGTTTATCTGCTTAAGAGTTTCACCAATAATTCACATTTTAAAATGTGTTTGTGAGAGGTTTTTTTTTGCATGCAGCACAGAACAGACATTGGTGAGTTGTCATTACTTTTAACATAAAACTTATAGGGAATTAAAAGGGAGTTGCAGATATTGGTGCAGAAAAAGTAAATGAATGACAGCTCATCAGAGCTCATTTTTAGATAGATCCATGATTTTTTTACTGAATCTAAGCTTGGTGCTTAATGGTTTGTTTTTTTTTTTTCCAGAGTTTTTCTATGACTTGCTGCATGCACATATAAATCAAGATTGACTTTTGGTCCGTGAGACTGTTTTGCTTGGCATTCAACATGCAATACAATTGGATAATTATTGCAGTGTTCCTTGGTTGCAGAGGTCTCTTGCAGACTTTAATTTATGCAAATGTATCAGTCATTCCCATTCAGTGATTTAAAAGATTTTAAGAGAATCAATCATTCAAACTATTACTTTCAAATACTTAAAGAGTGAAATATTAATAATAAAAAAAATTAATTTTGAATTTGGTGCTGATATATTGTATTAACAGCTTTATTTCTCGAGCTAGTCAAATTATAATTTGCTGTCTGGTACCTACAAACTTTATTTCTTTTATAGTGTTTCATTTAATGGTCTCTCTTGTACTCTACAGGGTTTAGTTTGATGGAGGAAATAATTATAATTTTAACTGGTCTGTTCCATCGAGGTTTAAGTGGACTCTATTGTGCAGCTTTCTTTGTACATTACAATGCAATTTATAGTGATACAAAGTACATTAAAACACTTTACAGAGTTGAGGACAGCTACTGTCCTACAAACAGAAAGTGGAGGAAAGGCTGTGTGGAGATGGAGGAAAGAAAAAAGGAAACAGACTTGACATTTTAAAAGCCATAAAGAGGCAGGTGAGGGTCCTTGCAGACTGGTTATTGTAAGGGAAACATAGAAGATGCAGAAATGGAGGGGAAGGCAAGTAGGGTTTGTACCAGTACAATACATGCCATGGTATGTTATTTTAATTGCTGCACTCAGATGAACTGCAAACAATGTTGGTCACGGAGCAATAGATTTCCACGCCTTTTCCTCTTGTTGCCTTAAGCTTTAAGCTGCAATGAAAACGATGGTGACCACCTGGATAGAGACCAGCAATACCCCAGCAATCAAAAAACAAAGCGAATGAGGACATCATTCAAACACCACCAGTTGCGGACAATGAAGTCATACTTTGCTATTAACCACAATCCTGATGCCAAGGACTTGAAACAGCTAGCTCAGAAAACTGGCCTGACCAAAAGAGTTCTTCAGGTAAGAAGAGCAGTCTTTTGTCTTGAAAAGTAAATAAAATATCAATTTTATGTTTGGAATGCTGTGGATTTTGCTTATCCTCGAGCTTTTCATAGTCATTCATACCTCCTGGGAAAATTCAGTTCAATTCTGGAAAGTATGAGAAAAGTTGTTTAGTTTCAGCTTCCCAAAAGCAGATCGCTCGCGCTCTGATTTTTAATGGCAGTTGTTAAGGTTTGGGGTCTGCTTACTTTCCTGAAGTTAGTTAACTCTGGTGCATGGTTTGACTTCTGATCTGCTGCAAGAAAAAGTAAATTATTTCAGTTAATGTAAATAGGTTTTAATTTAGAAATTAATGTGAGCAGTTGTCTTTATAAGAAAGTAATCAGGCATTTGGATCTATTTTATCTGGACAGGAAAGATCTCTTTTCTGTCAAAATGCAAGAGGACACATTTAATTTCGCAAAGATACATTTTGTTTAGTCATAGCATAGGGCTTAGAGTGAAAGAAGACTGCTTTGAAAGTACTTTTTCGAGTAGGAGGGTACATGCTCTGAGTTTTTATGGGAAGGAAAGGTAAGAATATCAGTTGGCTCAGTTCCATTTTAATTTGTAGTTCTGATTCAGTAAGTCCATTTTAATGAGCACTTATTCAATAACTGTAACTAGAGATAAATTTAGGCATATAGGAGCTGTGATGCTCCAGAATCCAGAACTGAAATCTTTAAATAGATCTTAATAATAGAAAAATAAAGTTTGGGGCCTCATAGAGAAAGCTGGAGCTCAGAGATGGACTCGTGGGAAAGCACAGTGGATAGCTCTTGCAGCCAAACAGAGGGCAGTAGACAAAAATACAGAAAAACCTGACTTTACTGGAGATATTGTGGGTCTTACAGAGTTAATACCTAAAGGTCTGTAGGCTTCCTAATAAAAACTGCTAATAAAAGACTGTGTGTAATTCATTTTCTTGGCTAGATCCCCCAGAACTGGATTTTGTTTGTTTTTTGAAGCTGATTTGCGGTGGTGGAACGGATTCCTCCTTCATTACTGGTGCACATCCTGGCACTTGGCATAGTGTCTCTTACAGCGGCTCTCCTTTATCCACGCATGTGGAGGAAAGGATTTTCAGCATTTAGCTATCATTATTTTGAAACTTCTTCATTTCATCATCAGTTTGCACACTTCAGTAGTATCTGCTGTCTGTTACAGTATATTCACACCTGAATTATCTTAGAAATTTCACACAGTGTGTGAAGAAATCACTTCCGTGTCTGGAAAACACCTCTGTCTTGGTCATCTTTCTGTTTTCTTTCCTCAACCTGCACCACCACCTGACTTCCATCTCTCCTTTTATTTCACCTCACAGGTCTGTCCTTCCAACTGCTTTCTAAGACATTTTGTCTGTCCCTTCCTTCTTATTTACATTTCCTCATCTCCGAAACTGAACTCCATGTCTCCATTCAGACTCTATTTCATTTTCTTGATTGCTTCTGTTTCCATATTAAATACAACTTCCTGTTTTAAGGTGTGCTTTTTTTTTGTGCCAATCCCTTACAATTTCACTAACTTTTTTTTCATGGTTTCAGTAATTAGTGTTTCACTTCTCTTACTTCCACAGTTAAATACTCCTTTATCTCTGGGTGTCTTTAGATAAAGAGAGTTGCAAGGTAACAGTTGGTGGTGGGGACTGCACACAGAGGATGATCTGTTGGAGGCACTTCAAGAAAATGACTCCGAGTGATACCTTGTCTCGTATTGCTTGAGTTTTCCTGTCTGCTAGGAGCATTCTCTACTTTATACTTTGCTGGTTGTTTGTGTTTGAAAATTAATTTGGGCCAGTTAAAAAATATTTATTTTAAAAAATTTTGGAATCTTTGTGCCCAGTTGGCTTATTTCTAACCTTTGAGAGCAAATAATGCGGTCTTGTGAAGCTGTGGAGGTAATTTTTCAAACACTGAAGTTTACCTGTACAAGTTTCAAGGTTGCTCCTTGCTGGGGAAAACTCTTCATGATGTTGGTTACTGAGATAGTGTCACTTGTTAATTCTTCTGTACCAGAAAGGTTGGCATTCTATCTGTGTCATTTACTGAACACAAAGTAATTCCCTGACACTATTGATCTAAACAAGCACCATTAGTATTAGTCTGCCTTACATATTAGAGGCGCACGGACTCCCAGATGTATGCGCACACATTCCAGTGGTGAGAAATTTTCTGTTTTCCCTGTGTTGTTTCTAGGTGTATCTGTAAGCTCTTCTATTTTCTGTATGCTCAGATTTCAGTTCAGCAGATGAAGGATAATGACTTCATATATCGTTAGAAGAATGTATTTTAATAGAAAGCATAAGGTAGCAGATGAAGGGACAAACAAATTCTGAAACCGGTGGGATTTCCAAACACACAGAGCAGAGTTCCTAATGTTTTAGAGCCCTTACTGTAGAGGCAGTGCCATATAACATGTAATGAAGGTGGTTTATCTGTAAATCAGAACCGGGTTTGTCCATCTTCTTAATGATCTATAATATTAGACCTGGAAGACCTGACTTCTGTCTTGCCTTTGTATACAATCAGTCATCAGCTGGCCAAATCCAGAAGCAGAATGGCAGGGAAATGTAACACACTGCTTCAAGAATGACGTTTCCTTCAGTGGCCCTGTAATGCAGACTATTTTCCTAAAGTAAACACATTAGAATTACAGTAAGCCTCTTTATACTTTTACTCCCTGTTTGATTTATCTTGACTCTCATTTAGCCTCATGTTTGCAATTTAATGCAACTGCAGCTAGGGTGCACAAGCCCATTGCTGTGAACTATCATTTGTAATTAAAGTGACCAGTTAATGGTAAGCCAAGTAAATGTCATAAATGTTACTCATTTGGAATTGATCTTTATTTTTATGAGTTCAGAAACTGAAGGTGGAAGTAGATAGACATAAGGACATAGGATTTGCTGGCCATAGCTATGCGTACCTCCTCTCTACCCAGGAGTCTGCAATACGGCCAGGTCTGCCGTACCCCTGGCAGAAGCAGTTTAGGAACATGAACCATTGTTTTTCAGTGGTGTCTTTACACCGCTCATCCTTTTGGAATCGCTCTCCAATAATGTTGCTCTGAAGACCTCCCAAAGGTTACTGCATACATTTGCACTTTGCTAACTTTCCGCTAGTTGACAAATATGAAAATTTTCTCAATCACGCATGAGTTTCCTGCACTCCTCTGTGGTGAAGGTTTGCTGTAGGTCAGCATACTGCGGACGACTTACTGAGACTTTGTTCCTATAATATCCTACAGTTCTTTCAACTGTGCACTTAATAATAGGGACAGAACAGCCAGAATGTGTGTGCAGTGACTGAACAGTTTGCTATGTGCTGGCACATCCTTTGCATTTTTATTTGTACAACCAGCATATAACAATTGCAACAATGGAGACATTACAAAATTAAGTTATCTCAGACGATTACTTGGCTTCATACATGACAGTATCAGAATTCTTTACAACACTTAGCATATTTATTATCAATACTTTCCTTTCTTATGGAGATAATATTTTATTCCCATTTTACAGTTGGAGAATGGAGACAAAGAGAGCTGAACTAGTTGTGCAGATCTCTGAAGCACTAGCATGACATTTTAACTGCAGCACCACTCTGCCTAGCTGCTGAGTGCCCAGCGACAGGCATTCAGCTCTGCTCACCAGAATGTAGGAGCATCAGTGGATCTCACAGCTGCTTTTATTTTTCACTGGGAGTTTTTAATCCATATTTTTCCCCTTTGATTTGAAATAGCTCAGCCCTATAAATGATACAGTTGGACAGAAAAACACTACATACTTCTCAATGATTTTGTTTATTTTTTCAGAAGGCCAGATTCCTAATTGTGTAATTGATGTGAGTTAAGTCCTTCTGGAACAATTCTTTCAGTTATGTATATTTGGATTATTATTGCTTTACTTCAATGTAATGCTGTTCCGGGTGCAGCACTGCTGCTATTCTGCACGGGGCAGCAGTCCTGCCTTGGCAGCTCCTGCATGCTGCTGTGCACAGCTCTGAGTAACAGTGCAGAGCAGCAGAGAATCAGGACTGCCTTCCTACAGCTCAGAAAACAGTAGTTCCAATTCTTTCACTGCTCTTCAATGTGAAGCCTTTGCTAAATACTTCTGTATCTTAATTGCATACTGGAATATCACTGTTACAGTAATTATTTTGTTATTCATTTCTATAATAAAACACAGCATTTTCAGAATTTCAGCTAAGAAATATTTAGATGCCTTTTCAGTAATAACTCAAATATTTATTGTTAGACGAATTGAGAGAGCTCTACAGTCATTAGCTGGAAAACCTTGGCAATAACTCAGTGAGGAAGAAGGAGAAAGGGTCATATTGTCTATTTTTTTAATAATGCTTGCAAGAATATGAAATATTTGCTATGCCTGATGTGAGCTAACACTGCTAAAGAGAGGATGAACCACCTCACATTCACAGCTCCTGAAAGCAGCATTAGTGGTTGAGAGCCATCTGGGCTCAGGTTTTCATGTTTAGTAGAAGATAGAGGGGAATACAGAAGCACCAACAATCTTGCTCATTTTCTTACTACATTTCAAATCAGAATCAGAAATAATACCATAGAGTTTTTTGCCCTGTGAAAGTTAAGGAGCAGCTGGACTGAACAAAATGCTGTTCTGCAGTTTCACATACTTTACACAAGAAAATTGTCTGTGAGTAGGAATGGAAATTTTACTCATATTTGAGACTGACATACGTAAACAACTGTATTTTCAGTGAACACAAATGTGAAATTTTGCAGAGGTGTGTGTATACACAACTGGTCTAGTGATTTTTTCTGCTTTAATTATGATGTAACTATGGTACATATCAACAGTGGCACCTCTCTAAATTTACATTTAAACTTCATACACGTGATCCTTTTTGGAAAGGGTATTTAAAAAAAATCAAAGCCAAATAAATTCATTTGTGGGACAAATATAAATGATCTCTTATAGAAAAGTAAAACAATCCCAAAAGTGATAGAATTGCTGATTTTTACCATTCCTACTCATTGGTGATTGAGACTTTACAGCTTGAATGACCAGAGCAAAAGTAATTTGGTTCACCTGCACACCCTGCACAGGATGTTGGCTCAGAGCCGTGCAGTGGCTCTTCCACTTCTCCTTCTTGCAGGCTCTGAATGAGCAGCCATGTGAGAGGAATGTGCTGGCTGACAATGTTTCAAGCAAAAGTACTGCATTTATTGTTTTCATACAGCATCACTGGCCTTTAATAGCATCACTGCTATTACGGACTGTTTAAAAAAATAATACATATATTTTTGCCAGTGCTGATCTAGAAGATTTTTGTTTTCTTGATATATGTAAAACCAATATTTACTCTTTAAACCAAGTGTTTTAACAAAGGGAGTCATAAAATGCTTTGAAATACTAAACTTCCAGAAACAAGTGAGGGTGTAAGGTATGAATGCAGCTCTCATGGCCACCAAGAGAACCAATGCCTGAGAATCATTTCCTTGTGGCACTGATGGGAGGAAGTGCAAGAGGGAGTGCGTGCACTTACAGATCCTTGGCTGGGGGTGATGGCTTTCCTGAGAAAAAGCAGGAGTGCATAATAGGGGAAACTTGGGGCTGGACCATCTGCAGATGAGAAGCAAACCAGTCAAAGGAAAAATGGTCTGAGACATCTTCATCAATTCTAACTGCAGCTGGTGAGATGAGAGGAGAAAGAGGAGACTTCACAGGACTGCAACTTGTGTATTACTCCTCTGCTAGCAGTCTAGCTTAAAGCAGATCTTGCAGCAGGAGCTGGGCTGGCTCAGAGTTAGAAGTCAGAGTTTCTGTGTAGGATGTTGTGACCACATCACAGCCTCGTGAGCTCTGCACACTTATTTTTCCTCTATGAACCACCGGGGAGAAATCTGATGGAATAAGGCTGAGCAGGTACTTTGACTCTCTCAGTTCCTTTCTTTGACAGACACAGAGATGATGAATTTAATTACACCTGGAATTGAAAGACCCGATCTTATTCCTTAAATAGGTCAATGTGAGAACAGTGGGATCAGCACTGAGTCAATTACAGAGAAAGTGGCAGTGACAGAAGGCCTCCTGATAAACAAGCACTATGGAATTTCGGCTAGTTGCAGCAGTAGAATTGGATGGCACCAACAAGTTGAATATGGAGCATTTAATGACATTTTCAAATTTAATCCACGTAATATTCTGTTCCTAGATTTTGTGTGAGTTTCAGAAATAAATTTTATTATATCTATTTTCAAATAGGTCAGAAAAGTATTATATCTTTAAACAAACTCTGCTTGGAGAGGGTTATTAACTTTGACCTAAACGCAGCAATTTAACTGAAAAAGCTGAAGTCCTATTTTTGTCCTTTACATACAGTGAGATAATAAATAATGCAGGAAGTAGAAATCTTGGAAACAACTTTGCTGTATATGGATATCACCTATTCTGAAATCACATTTTTTTAATGTAATGTGAGTATTTAATACCACTCAAGACACTTTTTCAATCATTATTCCAGGATGGAAAAATTTAAAATAAGTTTGGCATAGGAGCTGAAGCATTTGAGAAAGAAGAGTAAGAAAGAGAGGCAGAAAAAATGAGAGCGCTGCTGAGGCCGAGGCATGAGAAAGCTCCCAGGAGGGCTCCAGGAGCACGGGCAGGCAGGGCACTGCAGGCCAGGTCACTGCTGCATGCCATGGGAGGCAGACTTGAGATGTGAGGTGCTCAAACCCATTAGCTTGTATTCATCAGATGCTTGATTTCCATCTCATCCTGAGAAGTACTTCTGGGAGCGAGAGAAATTGAGCGTTTGCAGGAGCCCCCAAACCTATCGGCATCTTCACAGGCAGCCTTGACACAACTCCCCTCCTCCCTCCTCAGCCTGTTTCTGCCCCAAGCAGACTGTTTACACAGAGAACTGCAGGAAAGGGAAAGAGGAAGGCTTCATAGGCATCCAGAGGACACTTTTCGTGACTGGGGCTACTTTTCTTACATGTTACCATAAAAGCATCTTCCCCCATTCAAGCTTTGATGAATTTGTGAGTTTGCTTTTGCTTTCTAAACACTGCAGCTCTTTAAATGCTACCCTGTTATATTAAACTATTTCAGGTTTGGTTTCAAAATGCTCGAGCCAAATTCAGACGGAACCTCTTACGTCAAGAAAACACAGGGGTGGATAAGACTTCAGATTCAACACTCCAAGCAGGGACCCCATCAGGTCCTGCATCAGAAATATCCAATGCCTCCATGAGTCCATCCAGCACTCCCACTACCTTAACGGACTTGACTAATCCTACTATGCCTACTGTGACATCTGTCTTGACGTCAGTGCCCGGAAGTCTTGAGGTTCATGAATCCCGAAGTCCTTCACAGACAACTCTTACAAATCTTTTCTGATGACTCTTAATAATTTCTTTAAAAAAGAAATTATCCTTAGTTGAAATTCCAAGTGTATTTTAATAGAGGCTTTGAGCAACTGACTAACCACCGTTAGGATCTCTCCTAAGAAAACAGAAGGAAATTAGTGTTCTGGTGTTACAGAGTATGGACTGAAGAATAACTTGGAAGATCTATTGCAACACAACATTTGTGTAACTGTACAGTTTTGTGGACTGAGCAAGGGAAACAGCAATTAATTTAAGTTGGCTAAAGCTTCTGTATTTTCAAAGACTGCCATGTGCCTTATACACTGTTTTATCTACATACTTTGAATTCTGTGTCCACTTCTCTCTTTTTCTCTCTGTATATTTATGACCAGGGCAAAAATGATAAGAGTTTGTTACTTTGAGTAGTCCTAAGTCTTTCATTGGTTGCTTTGTTGTTTTAGAAGTTTGAAGTCAAAGTCTGTTTGAATACCAGAATTTGTAAAATCTAACCAATAATAAAACCACTTCTGGAAACTACTTCATAATGGCTACAGTTACATCTAACGTGAGTTTCACAATCCAGATAGGCTGATTGTATTTAAAAGGATTAGAAAATTGCACTTCAAACATGGTATCTGCCTAGAATAACTCTAATGTGATGTATGCATTTCTTCTGTTCCTGAAGTATATATGGGTGAGAAGTCTGCCTTGTGCAACAGTCTAGCTATTTGCAGTATAGAGAAATAAATGTTAGTTGCAGATAGAAATCATCAGATACCGTTAAAATTCAAACAGACAAAATATACTTAATTTTGTTGCGTGAAAAAAGCTTGACTTCAGCTGGCATTCATGAAAGCAGTCTTGCTTTAGCACAGGAGATGGCTCGTCCCCTTCCATGGTGGAGGCAGGCGAGGTACCTGCCGGCCGTGCGGCCACCAGCGCTCTGCTAAGAGGTGGCATTAGGTAATATTTTCCCTAGGAAAAAGACGGAAGTATTTCAGGTAATTTTACAAAATTGGTGGGCAAAAATGAGGCAAAACTATGTTTTACAAAGTCACAGCCTTACATTTTTCGTAATGCTTTGAAGGAATAAAAAGCCAAGGAAGAATATTACATTATCAGTACCAATAAATGTGATTATTCCTTTAACTATTATGGACCTTTGAATATGACTGAATTCATTCTCCAGGAGAAAAAAAAAGTGCAGAATATAACTGATATTTTGAGTTCTTTTTCCTACTGTTCTTAAAGATGCTTTTCTGTAATTAAAGAAATACCTCAGCAAAGTTTAAATATGTGTAAGGATGAGTTACGCTCTGCTGTTTGCCCAGCAGTTGTACAGATCTGGAGCTGCACACCACGTGCATGCGGTCGTTCCTTTTCAAACCCGCCGCAGCCCGACTGCGGGCGCTGTTAGGCGGCTCTGCAGCAGCAGCGCTCTGTCATCCCGCCGGATCACGATCGATAAAAGATGATTCCAAATAAACAGCAAGACAGGTGCCAGTATTCGTGTTGTTCGCCCTTTTCAGAGCACTGAAGATGATTTATTGGGCCAGACCTTTCGGTAACAATGTTTTGGTTTTAAAAGCACTGTATTTATTCAGCTTTCTCAGCTGAAAATTTGCCATTCTTGTGCAAGCCACATTCCTTCCAATCTTGGTGAGAGATCTCAGAGAAGGAGGACTGTGGATAGAAGTGCTGACATAATCGGGTCATATATTAACCTTTTTTCATGCTTTTGCTTAAAAAAAAATCAGGTGAGTTATCTGAAAGGCGAGATAGTTCCAAAAATCATAACTAGCTTAGATCTGTGAAAGGAATTACGTTCTGCTCTCTACAACTAACAGACTAGCGTAGCCCTTTGTGCTCATGCACAATGATGGAACATTTTAAAAGCTAATTCGGGTTTAATTATTTGCCTTTACAGATTTGTCCAAGGCACTTTTTTTCTCAAAATAGAAATGTCCAATAAGTAAATTGTACTGGTTATGAACTGTAACAGAGAACGTATCTGCCTTCTGAAGAAATTCAGGCACAGAGATTCTGCTGTGTGTAAAGTTTTGCTCATTGTCAACTACCTTGGAGATTCTTATTTTTATTTTTGACATGCTTGTTTCTTTTCTTGATTTAAAAGGCAATGTTGGTCCAGTGTTAAATGGATACAGCCCATAATTAGAAATGCTGTGTGTTCACCTGTCAGAAGTTCTAAAAACCAGAATCCTGAATTTGTAAGTGTTACGGCTGATACAGCAGACGACTGTTCCGATGGTTCTTATTTGTGACCTTGTGTTTTAACTACCTGAATCCACACGGCTGGAAATACCTTTCAAAACAATTCTCAATATTGCCTTTTCAAATGACTGAAATTTATGAAGGGGAATCCTCTAGTGTTAATATTACCTGAAACCTATAGGAGACAATTAGATAAATTGTCCAGTTTAATCAAATCAGGGATTTTGCATATAAATAAGAGACGATATTCTATGTAGGGTCTTTATGTAGGTGCATTAGGATTCACTCACTGGCTCCAATGACCTATGTTGCCCCCATGATTGTTTCAATCCTGTGGTATTGTTTGGTTGTTTAGAGCTTGTTGGTTTTGAATGCTGTACATTTTTTTTACTACTGCAATCCTAATGTTTCTTCACATACTTGTACAGTTCCACATTTGATGTATTAGTCTGAAATTCTGTTAAAAACATGAACAAAAAATGGAAATGATATTTCTTTGAAAGTGTATTTTTACTGTATATCTAATTTGATCTAGTTGAACATACTTCTTTACATTTTGCATGATAGGTGTGTAGTTCATTTTTTAAATATGAAAGAGACTAAAGAGTAACTTAGAATGAGAATATAATGAAACCTATATATGAAAAATACATACAATGATTTGCTACCTTTTGACTCAAGAAACTTTTTGAAATACATTTTATCTAGATTATTTAAGATAATGCAGATATTTTGTCTTTGAGTTCATACACAATAAAGAGTAAAAAAGGAAAACACACATTAGAAACAATTCTAAGTCACCTTGGTACCTGGCAGCATACTGGATTGTTCTTGTCAAGCAAAGGAAGAATATTTGATCTTAAGAATGCTGAGTAGACACACTTTGATATACAGCACGGAGGGACGGTATCTCTGTAAGCAATATGTGATAACAGTGAGAGAATGGTTCGGGTTGGAAAGGACCCTAAGCTCATTTCATTCCAACCCTCTTTCTTGGGCAGAGACACTTCCCTTCAGAGCAGCTTGCCCAGGGCCCATCCAGCCTGCCCTCAAACACCAACGGGGCTGAGCACCCACAGCTTCCTTGGGCAGAGATGCAGTTCAGAGTGACATTTCATAAAACTTGTTTCTTCACTCGTATTGTCCAAATCTGGGCAGAGGATGCTAAGGATCATCATACAAACGACGCTGAATACTTGCTCTGGAAGCAAAAGTGAATTGATAGAAGGTACTATAGACTGTGAATGTGCCTGTAGAGTATTTTGTATTCCAAACTGTAATTTCTAACTGTTAGGAACACATTTAGAGCACTTTCTTATGACTCTTTGCTATTTTTTTCCCACTGAAATATAAAGATTAAAACGTAGACAGCTGTAATAGTCACCTCATTTGATCAGAAAAATAAGAACAACAACAAAATAAAAAGAAAAAAACAGCCTTCAGAATTAGGCATAACGGCAGCAAAGGAATCAGGTAACTAAGAGAAGTTCCAAGTGTGCATGCTTACGAGCTTCAGAGTGATTTCATGTTGCTTGGAAGGAGAGATTTTTATCGAATGTAAGTGGATTACAAAGTATCCCTTCTGAATAAGGAGTTTTTAGCCATTTACATCATTCCTGGTAGCAATTATTTTATCCACAATGAATATGGAATTTTTATTTATTTATTTATTTATTTATTTGGAAGTGTATTTAACACTTTGGGAGAGCCAATATAGTAAAATAATGACTGGCAAAATGATGGTCTGTGCATTTTCCAGACCACTTTGACTGGCATTTGAAAAAGCTATAGAGTGAAATACTTGTGTGAGGTGCCCAATTCACATTAGCTGCCAGGGTTTGGTTGTGTGTGAAATGCTCATGCATCTACAATTTGGTGCATACAACTTACACAGTTGCCAGCAGTATGCATTTCTGCTTTCCAAGTTTTCAATATGAAACCCCCTTTCCAGACCTCCCAGTCCTTTTTGTTTTGTTCTGAAAGTGAGTTGTCTGGAACTCTGCTTACTCCCAGGCTTGAAATCATTATTCCTGAGCCCACAGCACCTTTGTTTAAAACCTACATGGAGCAAACCAGGCCACCTGTCCATACAGCCATACATTGCACTTCAGGCTGGTTGGTCACTGGTGCCATGCTTCACTACCAGCAGACAGCAGGGGCAATGCATAGCACAGCCTGTCCTCAGCCTAATTAAAGAGAAGCAGAAGAATTACATTATTGGTCTACAATTCATAAACATGTGTTTTAAGAGTATCTTAGGACCGGCAAATCACTTTAAAAAGGGAATAAAGAGGGCATCTTTCTGGCACACAGGAAGCTGCTGCAGTTATGAAGACAAGCAACAAAGCAGCCGGGCTGCAAGCGCTCGTGTTTTCACTTCCATAAATGGAGAGATGGTCTTTCATTCATTGCAGGATTTAGCTGAGATGCTTAAAATGATGTGAGTTCAGTCCAGAAAGCGAAGAATCAAGTTTGACTCTGTCGTGACATTAGGTGAGTTACCAGTAATTTGTCTGAAAATTACTGTCAATGGGGAAAGGATGGCTGTCAGTAAACTCAAATCTAACATTATCATTTAGCATGCTGATGGTAACACTGCGCAAATTACAGTTACTTCCTGGGAATGCCACTTCTGTGGAAACTCTTCTTTTGTTAAAAAAATCTCTGTAAATGGTATGGCTCTCTCTGCATATTTACACAGCTTGTTTACATGGCATAGAATCAATTTATTAGACTGTAAAATCAAGCACTTAAGTAAAGTTTTTGCACCACCCTCCAGAGAAAAATAAGTAGTTAAGCTTTTCATCAGAAAGAAAGACCTGTTCTGGACATCGCATCGTTCAGCCACGTACTGACGAAAAAAAAGTAACAGCCAAAATAGGAAGAACGTAAATATTTGGAAAGCGTTACACAGTTCTGCAGAGAGCTGATTTAATCGATAAAAATCAGCAATGACTTTTTCCAGGTGCAGAGAGATTACTGGGAATTATCGTTAGGGAAGTCACAGCGAATCTGCAGCACAGTAAACAAAGAAATAACCATCTCTTTTTCTTGCACTGGCACAGAACTAACCAGGCTGTTATCCATAGACTGCATGGTAATTACTGTGTAGTCTAATGTTCCTTGGTTACTGTTTGAAAGCAGTGAGAAGACAGACATGCTTGGGTAATTGAGAATGTTCCTAGGATGGGATTTTGAATTTCCACAAACATATTGGTCCAGTAAGGAATAAAAACGGTAAGAAACTCTAATCCATGTATTATTTGTGTTGACCAAAACTTTTAAAGCTACAGTTTGTTCCATCA